GGTAAGTTATAGTTCATAGTCCCATTTAAGTCATAGATTTTATTGTCATCTCCATTTTTCCCTATACAATTATTAATGTTCATTGTGACCTTGCATGATACAGAAATACTTTCCTGGCTGGGCATGGTAGCTCACACCTGTAATCCTAGCATGTTGGGAGGCTGAGGTGGGAGGATTACCAGGAGTTTGAGACCAGCCTGAGCAAGAGTGAGACCCTTCTCTACCAAAAATAGAAGAATTAGCTAGGCATGGTGGCAATCACCTGTAGTCCCAGCTACCCGGGAGGCTGAGGAAGGAGGAGGACTTGAGCCCAGGAGTTTGAGGTTACAGTGAGTTATGGTGATCCCACTCCACTCTAGCCCAGGCAACAGAGTAAAACCATGTCTCAGAAAAAAAAAAAAGAAATACTTTTCTGATTTTTGGAATTTGCTCTCAAATATCCATCAATGACGAAAATTGAGAGTTTGGTCCCAATAGCAGAACCTTTAAAACTTGTCACTATTTGGCTGTGGAACAATTTTTTTTTTTTTTTTTTGAGACAGAGTCTCACTCTGTCACCCAGGCTAGCGTGCAGTGGCATCATCATAGCTCACTGCAACCTCAAAGTCCTGGGTTCAAGTGATCCTCCTGTTTGAGCCTCCCAAGTAGCTGGGACTACAGGTGTCTACCACTGTGCCCAGCTAATTTTTCTATTTTTAGTACAGACAAGGTCAGGGTCTTGCTCTTGATCAGGCTATCTTAAACTCCTGACCTCAAGCGATTCCCCTACCTCAGCCTCCCAGAGTGCTAGGATTACATGCGTGAGCCATCTCACCCGGCCAGAGCAATTTTATAGATAAAAAGATAACCACAGTTGTTACTATGCTTGGCACAGCTCTTTCCTGGCAGGTTCCCAGTCTGTGGCCAGACTGAAATCTCTAGAGGAAAGGAAAGTCACAGCTGACTGACAGGGCCTTATAGCAACTCTGTTCTCCATTCCATTTTGAATCATATAGCGCTTCTTTCTTGCTATTCCTGTAAAACTAAAAATTGCCTGGAAACATTTAATTTATTGCATTTTTTAAAAAACCCATAACAAGTATTTTTGCAAATATATATATTTATACATATATCCTAGACAGTCACACAAAAATGAATAGTATATGACTTTTGTATAAGTCTTTGAAATTTTCATTCCCCTGTGGAAGATATAAGTTTAGAAAATATGTATATAAATTTAGAATATGTTTAGCCTTACAGCATGCCTCAAGCTGTTGAAGAATGGATTTGTAAGAAAATTTTCATCAGCTTTTTATAGTATTGCCTTTGACTCAGGTGTTTTCCTGGAGAGTTGATGATTTCTTTCTTATCTTTTTTTCTGCCTAAGAAGTCAGTGACACTGTGTATTACTTAAGATACTTTTTGTAAGAGAAGGAAAATAAAATCAGACTAGCTTAGGGGAAAAATGGGATTTTATTTTATTTGGAAGCATACTGAGGTATGTTATAGAAGTAAACTGTGGAAAAGTAGTCATGCATCAGAGATAATCTTAACAAGGGTCCAGGTGCCCCCAAGACTTTGACTTGGTTCTATAACATTGGCCCTCATCTTTACTGTCACTCAGAGGTGAAAGAAGAGAGAGAAAAAGAAAGAGAGATCACAAGTGTTCACAACAGAAAATGAATGGTCCCTTTCTTTCCCTATTTCTGAAGTGTCTCCCTTCTCCACGCTAGTAATTACTGGAACCTTGCTCAAAATTCCACTGAACAAAATTTATACTGATACTTACTAGCCTCTCATTAGGAATGAATTTATTTTGGCCCCATTTTCCTTAAATTTCTTGTTTTAATTTTTAGGAATTTTACCTCTAGATTCTGAAGACCCTGGACTTTGTGAAGTTGTTAGAGTACATGAGCACTACTTGGGTAGGTGACAGTTCAGTCTTTTGGAGCTCATATAAGTCTTACTTCACTGATGTATGGTGTTTAATAACATTTTAATTTCTTTGACTCTACCCTGAGTGGTGTACTTAATAAATACCATTAGCTGGTCATGTACATGATAAATAACTGTTGGCTGTTCATGTGAATACTTCTAGCTTATAATTAGTATTCGTAAAATTCATATTCAGATTTATTCATAAAATTCATATTCAGATTAAGTAGTATATAGACCTTTAAGCTTTACTGACACTGCTCATGGCAAGATCTTTGAAAAGTGGTTTCTCTCTTGGCTCTGAACTTACCTCTAATCAGAAATTTTAAATTTCTTACTCTTGGTTGAAACAAAATATGTACAAAATCTAGACAATACATGTAGAGTCTGAGACAGGAAAGGATCAAAGGATCAAGAACATTCATCTTTGGTTTCTATTGCTAATTATCTTTTGACAACTGTTCAGTTTAACTGAAATGTTTATTTCTAATTTTTCTTACAGTAATTTAGTTTTTGAATATTTAAATTAAAAAATATATATGCACACACATACTTCATGAAACCACAGTAAAAAGATGCTGCATTTCCTAAGAAATCAGGGAAAAGCAACTTAAAACCATTATATACCTTCTAGATTACAAAAGTTAAAAAGTCTTACCACCCCAAATGTTGGCAAGGATATGGAGCCAATGGAACCTTTGATGCACTGGAGTATAAGCTGGTACAAATATGATTAAAAAAATTAGCATTATCTAATAAAGGTAATGGTGTATATACATACCCCAGACCTAGTAATTCTTTTTTTTTTTTTGAGACAGAGTCTCACTCTGTTGCCCTGGCTAGAGTGAGTGCCGTGGTGTTAGCCTAGCTCACAGCAACCTCAGACTTCTGGGCTCAAGCGATCCTACTGCCTCAGCCTCCCAAGTAGCTGGGACTACAGACATATGCCACCATGCCCAGCTAATTTTTTCTATATATTTTTAGTTGTCCAGATAATTTCTTTCTATTTTTAGTA